GACATAGTCCTTATTTTTTGGACACGAGAACGTTTTAAGTCGTTCTTCAAGTTATGTAGAGGGCTATGCTCAGAATTATATTGCGTAACAAAATCCGTATTGAAGATATTCGCAGCGGAACCATAGTTACCGATATCGTTCAATGTATCAGTAATTAATGCATCATGGGTGGGTCTTAACTCCACCAACCGAAAACCTATAAAGAAAAAAAGTTTCCGAGTGGTAGCCTCTTGGTAAGTGCGGCGGGCTGACCGCCCACTAAATGGTGGTCGAACGACTTGGTAAACATGCAGAATGTTGATGTAGGTATTTAGGTTGCTCAACTCAAAACCGTAACAGTCATTGGGGGAGTCCTATGTGTGTGGACTTGTGACGGCTTGTAATGGCAATTAAAATTATTTAGTTGTTGCCAGGGGCTTCGCAAAATTCATCTTGCCCACACCAAATTTAGGTCTTTCTCTGCCTCTGCTGGCAAGAACAGATCAAATATTTAGAGGGAGACTAAACTTCTTCTTTTTCATCACCAGCCTGTAAAAGTCTACTGAAAGACATAGGCCTCTCCCACATTAGGTGTAATTCACAGAACACAATTAGCTCTTTACCGAGGTGTAATTTCTGATAATTGTCAGTTGGCAGGCAGATTGACAATGAGGGCTAATAATCTTCCGCTTACCAGATGTCGCTAGGTGGCACTAATGTGAAGTTTTTTGTTACATAATTTCATTTCATTTTTAATTTTTCTACTTTTATGAATTATCTGTGGTTAAGTTTATTTATTTTTAATCTAATTAATATAAAATATAACTAATAGTATACAATATGGAATATAGAGTAGAAGGAGAACCATCTCATATGGGGGGAAAGTTGAAAAAGTGTCCAACTGAATACTGAAAATAGAGGTTCCAAAACCTACCACAATAGCGCTGGCGTATGAAAAACTACTACTGCAATAAGACATCTCGCACCTTTGACGTTGCTGCCTGCAGCCGTTGGCCTACCAATCTGGATATTTTATCTAGCTCAGACATAAACGATATGCTTATACCGCGTAGGTTTAACATTATTTCTAGTTTGGTCTGAGTCCTAACGGGTGATGGATTCATTTACGCCGCTACTATATGACAAAGTAATTATCATTCCCTCCTTCTCATTGAAGTTTGCAATGCAAGAAACCTTGTTTCTATATCGACGGTTTACTGGTAAAACCAGTTATATGCATTTTTTTTGTGAAAATGAGTCAAATATTACACTGCGACTCAGATTTTGTTTTTCAATTTTCTGGTAAAACCGACTATTTGATATGACCATTATTTACAGAGATATTTCGTGGTACTTAATACTTCTTGTAGTATTATTAATTTATTCTGTGGTAATACCGTGTATCAGCATGGTAAGCTTAGAAATGTCCACGTAAAACAGTTTTAAGCCTTTATTGGTTCAAGTTATCCTATTCTTACTATGAAAATATGTTACAATTCCATAACTTATGTTACTGTAAACATAAGTTTCAAAATGCTTACTTGATGGAGCAGTTATGGACTTTTGATTGTTTTTACTAGAAACCGATCATAAAATGTTATTTACCATTCTTTAGAAGGAAAAACCGAATAAGTGCTACTAGTCGTCAAGCTTATTTGTTTATCTTTAGATACGTGTTTATTTGCATTTACATGTGATCTATACATCAAAAACATCAATTAAATATTCTTAATTAGGCGCACTAATAACAATATAAATACAAAAATTAAATAATAACAGTAAAGAAAGAATATATTACGCAGTTATAAGTAGATCAGTTGTCTTAATTGATGAGATAGAGCAAATTGAAGAGATTGAGATATAGCAGTTTTCTTAAAATGATTTAATAGAGAAGGAGGAACTCTTTCTTCCAAGAGCATACTCACAGAAAGTGAGTTCGACGAAAAATGAGATTGACGTCATAATGCCGAGCAGACGCCAACAGTTCCCCGATGTCTTAGTAATCGTAAGAACACCGAATGGTGAGAGGCACCTGAGATTTTAAGTGAGATTGAGAGGTTCTAAGGACGGCTGTATACAACATCGTTGAATGAACACGTACTTGTGAGTAACGAATCAAGGACTAACTTTAAATAGATATCATCTTCCGATGATATCCGGGGCGTCAGTCTAAGCAAGATTAGAATGACATTAAAACGGCAGGACCCCGGGTGGGGATATTGGGAGTGTGAATTACAGTGGAGCTTATAAGTGGGTGAAAAACCGGTACTTGAAGTACTATAGAACTTTCAAAAGCTTTTCAATTCCATCCTCCATGGTGGCACTATAGAGACCACCGTACTTCTGACTATCCCGAAGGAGTGTAGCTGAAATGCAGTAGTCTATTTCTTTTTTTATAGAATGGGGTGACAAACGTCCACAGTCCACCTGATGGTAAATGGATGCAGTGGCCCATGGACATATACATTTATCTTCGATTAAGAATCAAAATGCAAATGCTACGTCACCCCTTTTTTTTTTTTTTTTCTTTTTTTTTTGCGGATGGAAAATCATCTAATGACGCCTTTCGCTGTGGGTGGAGCGGAAGGGAGTGTCAGACTTTTACTGACTAAAAACCATCCGTGTTCCTTCAGTGCCCTTACGTTCCGGAGCCGCGGTATCTCTTTCGAACAGCCCGCAGCCCCGGCAGGCGTCGGCCCTTGCGGGCCCCTTCACGCTGCTGACAGCTCTTTGAGGCGCGCGTGGAACAAAACGCGCCGTCGACACGGCCTGTCGTCGTTAGACGGACGGACGGCGAGCTACCCATTGCTCGCCGTCCACAGGCCCGCGCCTACGGTGGTCGGGGGCCACGACGTAGCCCCCGACGCCCGGGGCGTCTCCCGCGGCGGCCGGGAAGGAAAGCTGTTGCTCTTTCCCTCTCCCGCTCCGCCACCTCCTTCGCTAGCATCACTGCTTCGCAGAAGGTGGTGACGGCATCCCATTCCGTCTCGCTCCGGACCATGGCTTCGACCAGAGCCGGACGCGAGAGGTCGCCGCCGCCTATCGCCGCTACGAGGACACGGCGGTGCTCCGCCCAAGCAGAGCACACCTCCACGGTGTGCTCCACCGTGTCCTCCGGTCGATCCTCGCAGTGGGAGCACCCGGGCGTTTCCTCCCGCCCGATTCGGTGCAGGAACCTCCCGAACACACCGTGTCCGGTGAGGACCTGCGTCAGGCGGAAGGTGAGGACGCCGTGGCGTCTCTCAAGCCACTCCTCAAAGAGGGGTCTTATCGCCGCTATAGTGGCGTGCCCAGCACGGGGTTGCGACAGTCGCTCTCTCCATGTCGCCATGAGATCATGCCGGAAGTCTGTCCGCTGCGCGACAACTTGCCGCGGCAGCGGGGTTTCCCCCCGGCATAGTGCTGCCGCGCGCCATTCGTGCAGGCGCGCGAGGACTATCGCCTCCAGATCCCATGGCGGCAATCCGGCAAGGAGGCTCGCCGCCTCGCGGGAGATCGTGCGGTAGCCGCGAACCATCTTTACGGCAACCACCCTTTGGGGCGCGTTTAGGTGGTGGACGGCAAGCCGCGCCAAACCACGCGCCCACACCGGGGCCCCGTAAAGGGCCATGGACCTCACGATCCCCATGCTACGTCACCCCTGAGGACTACATTGGAATGCCTCGTTTGCAGTAAACAGGGTCTCCGGTTCTCTACACTCATCATAAGAAACACAGCAGCATTAAGCTGCTATTTTACGCTGGTATTCTGCGAGAGATTTCAAGTGATGTCCCCTTAGATGCGTGTTTTTTGAGTATTGGAATAAATATTTGTCAAAATTTTCTAGATCGTAGTGTCCATGTATAATTTTATAAGTTTCGATCAAGTCTCCTCGTTCTCTGCGATCTTTCAGAGTCGTTAGTTTAAGTTTATTTAGCCTTTCCTCATATGGTATGTTTTTCAATGCTCTGGGAACCTTTGTAAATTTGCGTTGAACCTTCTCCAGTAACTCAATATCCTTTTTGAAATAGGGGATGCAATACTCTAAGCTTCCAGCCTATCGAACAAGTTACAAGCCGGTTTTCGAAAAGACATAGTATCATAGACTAAATACATATCCTTCTACAAATTGTACAGAAGACCTAAGTGTACAATCTGCCACTTTGTCTTTCGTAAGATTATGAGAAAGCTTTGATTCCGTAGAAATTTGGGCGGTGCTACAGTCCTTTCAGCAATGCTAAGTCGATTGTTGGTATGTCGATGCTGAAATTTCTATTCAAGTAGGGCGATGTGAGTAATGAACCAAAGTACGAAACCTATCCAACTGCAGAGAGGTGTAAGGCAGGGTGACGTTATATCCCCGAAACTCTTCACCGCGGAAGACGGAAGACGTTTTCAAGCTACTGGACTAAATATGATACGATATCGACATCAATGCTCATCAACCCTCTCTGATTTGCCGATGATATAGTCATAATGGCAGAATTGCTGGAGGTCCAAAGCACTATTATCAATGATCTCAACTTTTCCCAAAGCATTGATCTTAAAATGAACATGGGCAAAACAAATACCATTTGTAATATCCGTATCACACTTATGCTGTTGTTGAGGGCGCTAAGCTTGACGTTGATGTCAAGCATGTTAACCTAGGACAAATTATCTGACTTGGTAAGTCAAACTTCGACCGAGAGGTCAATCGACGGATTCAACTCGGCTGGGCAGCATTCGGGAAGCTACGACACATCTTCTCGTCAGACATACCTCAAAACCTTAAAACGAAATTGTACAACCTGAACTGAATTGAAAATTGTACATGAAGTTTAAGGTGGATCAGCCTGCTATGATGCAGGCTTTGCTCGGAGTTTCTCTAGGTGATAGACTTCGTGACGGGAAATCCGCAGTATTATAACCAAAGTAACCGACGTCGCTCGACTATAAATAACAATGAATGCGCATGTGTACCTCGTGAGTTAATAGATGAACCAGTAAACCCCGGTAATGCTGAAACTTTACTTGATAATGAGCAGGATGTCGTCATAACAATGGCACCCGTTGAGGGTAAGTACCCGGTATTACTACTGTATGACGATTTTCTTGAAGAATTAGCTTTCATTAAGGTTCATGGTGGAATTAAAAGGCAGTTTAAAATAAAACTAAGTTCTTCTGAGATAATGAAATCCAAAATAAGTCGGCATGATAGAAGGGCTATGCGGCCAGATTATTTGTTTATTTTGTTAAAGAAACAACAGATGACCCAAATAGGTATACACATAGCTACTTGTCTTCGAAAGAAAACCTTCCACGGTGCTCCTATTTTAGTAAACAACCTTCTTAATGACGACTATCTACAGAACCTCATTCAGCATGACGATGGATATAGAATTCTTAGTAGTGTGAGAAATTCCCCAGCACACTGGGAAGAAGAAAAGAAAAAATTGTTAGCAATGATTCGGCAGTTCGGTGTCCCCACATTGTTTATGACGATATCAGCAGCTGAAACGCAATGGCCTCATTTAATAAAACAGCTTAAAAACATAGTTGACAAAGAGGAAGTGTCTCTTGAGGAATCACAAAATATTCCATACACAGAAAAAGTGCGACTCATTCAGTCCGACCCGTTTATATGTGCTACTTTATTCGAAACACGTTATAAAGAATTTAAAAAAACATGGCTGTCTCCTGTTGGGTCTTTTGGTGAACGTAAAATAAACCATCAATACCAACGAATAGAATTCCAAAACAGAGGTTCTCCTCATGCCCATATGATGTTGTGGATAAAAGATGCGCCTATTTTCATTCCTGGAGATCAATCATCAATTGAAAAGGTTATAATATTTGTTGACCAAATCATATCCTGCAATAGTGACGAATTAGATGATGATTTAGTTAAGATACAAACCCACAAACACACACATTCATGTCATTCCAAGCCAAGTCGTCTTTGTAGGTTTGGAATACCTTTTTTCCAAGGGATAAGACACGTCTTCTGATACCCCTGGAAGAAGATTATCCAAGCCTAAAATAATGGAAAGAAGTATCTAAAAAGATAAAGGACGATTTGGTGAATATTCCACCACATTTAACATTTGATGAGTACTTAGCATCGACAGAATTAAATATCGAAAAATATATAAGTATGGGCAGTTAGATCAACACTTAAACGGCCCAAAATATGTCTACAGAGACGCCCAAAAGACGTCATGGTTAATCCATTTTGTAAAAAAGTATTGGAATTACAGCGAGCTAATATGGATTGCCAATTTATACTAGATCCATTTGCCTGTTCCATTTATATTGTAGATTATATTAACAAAACTGATCGAGGCATGTCAAATTTACTAAGAGCGGCGGTGGAAGAGGCCAAAAATGGCAACAGTAGCATTAGCAAGGCAAGGGACTCTCTACGCGCTATATCAAAAGTATTTCTAAACTCTTCGGAAATTTCAGCCCAAGAGGCAATTTACTGTATGGCGGGACTTCCTATGTCACAAGCCTCTGAGAGAAATGTTTACATAAACACAGGGCACCCCAATGAACGAGTGGGTATTTTCAAATCTTTAATAGATTTGCAGTCCTTGGATCCATCGTCCACAGACATATTTAAGAAAAATTTACTGGATCATTATAAAAATCGCCCACGTGATCAAACGTTTGATACAATGAGTTTAGCTTATTTTGCTGCGTATTATACTTTTTCAACTAAAATCTCGTGTACACATGAAGGTGAAAACACTGACCATGAATGTATAGGAAATTGGATTGAGTTGTTAAATAACGATGGATACGTGCGAAAAAGAAGAAACCCAGGGTCATACGTTTCCGAAGATATAATAGAGCTCAAAATCCTGACAATTTCTACAGGGAGCAGATGAGGATAGTGCAGTGAAAGAAAAAGCTCGTCCTTTAGATGATTATGAATTGGAGACACAAGAAGGTGATCCAGATCATTGTCTACAGTTACATGGAAATCAATCGGATTTAGTAGGAGGAGCGATTGCTCAACCAGCAGTATTGTGTGAAGATGGTATATTGAGTTTAGTTAGAATATTTAATTATGATCAAAGATATTTTATATTACATGTAGGACATATCTTTACTCAAGAATCACCTCCACCTTTTTATTATTTTGTTAGTGGTGGAGCTGGCGTGGGTAAAAGTTTGTTAATTAAGGGTTTGTATCAATATTTAATGCTTTTGTTCAATAGAGTTCCGGGTATAAATCCTGATGATGCTAGAATTTTACTTTGTGCATACACGGGAAAAGCTGCTTTTGTAATCGGTGGTCAAACTGTACACAGTACGTTTGGACTTCCAGTATCCCAGTGTGGCCAAACAATGCCCGAATTATCAGCAAGCACCGCGATCACCTTGGCATGTAAACTTGCAAAAGTAAGATTAATTATTTTGGATGAAATATCTATGCTAGGAAGTAGAACTCTGAACCAAATTTAATAGGAGATTGCAGCAAGTATTTCACACAGATACGCCATTTGCTGGTATGTCTATTATAAGCGTCGGGGACTTCAATCAGTTACCACGGGTAGGAGACAACTGGGTTTTTCATCTAAACAGTAGTCGAAATCCATTGGCACACCTTGCTGGTGCTCCGTTGTGGGAACCATTCCGTCTCTTTATGATGACTAAAGTAATGCGGCAACGAGATGATCTGGCATTCGCAATAGCCTTAAACAATATGACTGTCGGTCAGATGACTTCTATCGATATAGAGTTAATAAATTCTAGATATTACAATATTAATACTTTACCTATTGAGGCACATGGAGCGATACACTTATTTGCGACCAACAATGAAGTTGACAAATACAATAATCAAGTATTGTCTCGAATGAACACTGAAGGGTACTCGGTTAAAGCACTTAATGTGGTTTCTGGAGCACCAAATCCGCAAGCTGCTAGAAAAGCCTTGCAATCTGTTAATGCTCTAGCTACAATGCAGACCTATGGTCTTCCTAAGAACTTGTTTTTACGAGTAGATGCACGTTATATGGTAACTGTGAATATTGACACTACGGATGGCCTTGTAAATGGTGGTAGTACAGGAATATTGAAGGCTATAGATTACGGTCGACACAAGGAAACAAGTGAAAAGCGGCCTTTCCGTATTTGGGTTCTGTTCGATAAAAGTACGGGAATAGCTACAAGAAGTAAATGTCAAGTACCTTCTCGGAAACATCGTCAATATCTCAATTCGTATTGGACGCCATTAGAGCGGTCACTTATACTGTGAAAAGGTGGAAATCTTCAAATCTTGTAGTGCAGCGTACTCAGTTTCCAATAGTACCAGCAGAAGGTATTACAATTCACAAGTCGCAAGGTGCAACCTTAGAAAAAGTTGTGGTTCATATTTCTAAAAATGTAAAAAGATCGATGTTGTATGTAGCTTGTTCTAGAGCAACGTCATCATCTGGACTATTTTTAGTTGTGAATTCAAGTAGATTTAAACCTCCCTCTGAAATATCAGAATCGAGTACTGTAAGTATAGAAATGAAAAGACTAGAGCAAAACAAATTGGTACCATATTTTAAATTTTTGCGAACACCTGAAGACAATAGGTACAGTTCCAGTTCAAATTGTATTTCATAACGTGCAATCATTACGCAAACATTTTTCAGACGTCATCATAGATCCTATTATTCATTTCTCCCATGCAGCATTGTTTGTTGAAACCTGGGGATGTCGTAGACACTTTTGAACTTGGTTTTTATGAGGTGTGCAGAATAGATGGTCCAGCTATATCTAATGCAAATCCAGGTTGGGGATCTATCGCGTATGTACGTCGCAATCTTAAGGATGTCGTGATAGATTGATCATGTAAAAGATATTATTTAAATAACCGAAGCCCTGCAAACGGCCATTGTGAATGCTTGCATTTTGAAATGTTTAATGTCAGAGTGATAACTGTATATAGGTCACCACTATGGAGTGTAGAGTACAAGGAGAACCATCTTATAAGGGTCGAGAGTTGAAAGTGTCCTACTGTTTACTGAAAATAGAGGTTCCAAAACCTACCACAATAGCGCTGGCGTCGGAAAAGCTACGATGTGAAGATAGCTGTGGTGAACGAAGTGAAGTCTGCTGAATTCAAATATTTAAAAAATGACTAAGAGTAGTTAGTAAAATGCCAGTATACAAAATCTCAACTAGCGCTGGCGTCTGAAAAACTACGATGTGAAGATAGCTGTGGTGAACGGAGTGAAGTCAGCTGAATTCAAATATTTAAAAAAAATTTATGACTAGAGTAGTTAGTAAAATGCCAGTATACAAAATCTCAACTATTTACGTAGTACAAAACCAAGCGGATTGGTCGGTCCTTGTTTATTTCTCCATATTATTCTAATTATTTTTGGCGCTTTTTTTTAATTTAACCTATTGCTACTGCAGCGCCACCCTTATTGGACACGTTTTTAAGGACACTTCATTATATAGAGATGGTCCTCCTTCTCTCTACACTCCATAGTCACCACAATGTGAAATTAATGTTGCAATAGAATGCATAAATACAACAATATACGGCAGCAACCTTAATAGGTATACTTTATGTTCTCCTTTGATTGTTGTGAGAGACTTCAATATCGATTTTAGAATGAATCCCCAAAATGGAATTTCCACATATTTTTCATCCATAAACATGTTTCCGTTAATAAACACTAGCACTACACGAAATAGTACAACTATAGATAACGTTTTTCGAACTTCAATTTTCATACCTTTTTTTAGTCACAATTTACATATCTGGTTCAAATTTAATACTTAATTAGTATTTTTGAACCAGATTTCTAAATATTGACTAAAAAACTTTGATAAAAGAACTTTTGCAACGCTGCTGCAAGGCTAGTGTAGGTATTTCAGTTATATTATAAAATAAATGATGTTTTAATATAAAATAAAAGTAAACTGAAACGATAAGAGAGACCTTTGTCTTAAATTTATGCTCCTCCAGCTTTCCACATTGCAATGTTATTGATTTCATTTAGCAATAAAAATACCATAACTTTTACTTATATACCTACAGGTTTGTACGGAACCCTCGGTGCGCGAGTCCGACTCGCACTTGGCCGGTTTTTTATTATTATTATGTGAAACGTACCAAAATTTGTAAGTAAATAATAGTTAATAATTATATATTGTGTAGTATAAGGGAATATTCAAAAGACCCTTGAACGCAAGAAAAACAAACTTTCAACATGGTCAGTTAAACCAGTTAACTGCTCGACATTTCGCACTTTTTTGTCTGTAAAAGTTATTATTCAAACAACTTTTTTTTTCAAATAGCTCATCCTTAATAATCAACTTTCATTAAACTTAACTATTCTACTATTTACCAACGTTGCACAATGTCACTGTATTGAATTTTCAAACTTAAATTAGATAACTAGTTTTACCAGTAACTTATTAACCACTTCCTTTTTTCATATTTTCTTAATACACATCAATGTTTATTTTAAACAATATTAAGGCATGATGCAGTATCTTCAGAAGTCATTCATGCACCAATAAGACCCAAAGTAATAAAACTTTGAAACAAATTACTTAATCTATGCGTTATTGGGACAGCTATTGAAAAATAAAACCAATTTTATGGGTCAAATTTTATTATAAAGTACAGTTAGTACAGTCTCTGGGGTGGTCCCATAGTAGATTTCATATGAAGTGATCTTACATTTTGCCAGTGTTTCTTCAGCAGCGAAACAAGGAAGTTGATTGATAGATGCACATTTTGTGCCAATTCATCAGGAGTCATGTCAACATGCCCTACGGCCACTGAAAGGCAAAGTACCTGAAAAAAAAAATTACTTTGTAAATATTAACACCATCAATCAAAAACATAACTTGTAAAAAAACCAAGTCTTGCAACTCAGTTCTTCTACCGTAAAATGTTGTGAGATCCATGTAATACCAAGTCGGTTAATTTATTCAGTCTCTACTGTCTTCTGGGGTCATTCTGTCTCAAGTTATTACGTAATTAGCTAACGTAACAACGTCTTATAGTGACCATATCAATATTAAAAATAATTTATGTTTTAAATAGATTGACTTGGCCATCACATGAAAACACAATGTATCTCACAAGTAATACATATTATAATTAAATTAGATTATTTAGTGCGATTGCCAAGTCAATCTATGTATTTAAAACATAAATGATTTTTAATATTGACATGGTCACTATAAGATGTCGTTAGGATAGCTAATTACGTAATAACTTGAGACAGAAGGACCCTTACGTAGGGAATATCTGAATAATTTAACCGCCTTGGTATTACATGGATCTCACAACTTTTTACAGTAGAAGAACTGAGTTGGGAGACTTGTTTTTTTTTACAAGTTATGTATTTGATGGCATCTCATTTCTTTTTGTAGATAATCAATCCTACTTTTTTCCTTTCCGGTACCATCTACTTCTTAAATACCAACCATGGATTTTTGGGCAATTTAGTCTACTTAATACTTTGCCGGATTTTGGTACAACTTCATGAGACATGTCCTATTCTTGCTTTTTCATTTCATTGACCATTTTACAAGTTACTTTTGAACATAATTATATCTAGGTACCTATCTACACCTATTATTCCATTATATTATAAATATATAAGCACACTGATTCATTCATTACCAATGTAACTTTGTAATCCTATATATTTATATAGGATTACGAAGTTATTTATGCAGTTGGTTTATCTAGAAAACAACCAAAATTATAAAATATTTTAATTTTTCCTGGATTTATACACTAAATACTACATGCATTCTAAATTTGAAGCTTCTACGTCTGCTAGAAGTGCCTTAGAGTTTTGATGATCGGTCAGTCAGTGAGTGATAAAATTAAGAAATTTTGACAAGTTATAATTCTTAAACTACTAGTTCAAATTGAATGAAATTTGAAATATACTATGTTATACAATGCCTGCCTGGTTACTGAAAATTCAGACTTCTAGTTTTATCCACAATGAAGTTATAGGGGGTCGAAAATGACCTAAATTGCTTTGAGAAAAGGATGGTACAGCCGTGCCGCTTTTTTGTTCATCTTGGCAGGGGCACTGCCCATGCCCCCAGACTACCTAACTGCCGATGTAAAACCTCTTTTCTGCCTAAGCAGTAAAATGCATGCTTAATGAATCTGTTGCATCACAAGGCACATTGTGTGACATGAAACTTTTATTCCTAACATAAGGCTATCAAAAGATATTTAATAATTTTACCTTCTTCATCTGGAATTTGATAGTAGCTTTTACTTCATCAATTTTTTGAGTCATAGACTCTTGGTGGGAGAGAAGACCAGGGAACTTGCCAGCTTTGTTTAGACCAGGACCCAATAGACGTGGAACTTGCTTGATAAGTGACTCTGATGCAAGGAAAGCGTCATACCTAAAATTAAAAAAATTCACATGATGGTAATAGAAGCTGATAATATGGGAGAGTTGCAAGTGGTTATATGGGGTTGTTTCTGCATCTTCATGACAAGTACATATTTTGTTTTAAGATAGCTGTGGTATTTCAGAGGCGAACACTCATTCTCATTTCATCTAAAATTTTGTTGTGAGTAAAACTCGAGATTGATCCCTGCTGGCTTGGTGCTTAATTACTTAATGTACAAGCAAGTAGCACATACTTATGTAGTAAACTAAAAAACATCAAAACCAGAAGGGTGTTGCTAAAAAAGAATAAAACCTAACCTTTTTATTAGGAGAATAAATGGCCACCACTAAACTACTTTTAGTACATTATCACTTTATAACATCCTTTCATAATCAAGGAACACATGAAATGGTTAAAATTTAGAATAGTTTGGCAGGAGGGGTTGACGGGAGGGGTAGGAGAGGAGCGTCCCCTTACTCCAGACACCACTCCCATTAAAAGGTAATATACCATTCTTGAGAAAAATCAAAAAGGAAATCCCATAGACCTAACCTGAAAGTAACATTTATCGTCTCCGGCAGGAACGGGGAAGTGGGTAGCAGGAGTGTGCCCTATCAGGGAAAGCCCCTTCTCTACCTTTCCCTCGTTGCGGAAAAGTATAGTTTATGAGTAAGTATAGTTTTTTGTAAAATCATAACCTTACTTTTTTACACAGGAATATTGACCCAAAGTTACTTCTACAATGGCTTTGGCACTGCGGGAAGTGCAGCCCCTTCACCCTTGCGTAGCAAATCACAGGCACCCATGCTCAACTCTGCAGTTTCAGCTTATTGGACCAACCTCAGTCGCTACAGCTTGCACAGGTGCCTACAATTTGCTACAGCAGGCGGAGGCTGCTCTTTCTCCACTCCTACGGCTTTACAAAAACACTCTAGGAATAGGGCTAGGGTTGCCATCTGTCCGACTTTAGACGGACATGTTTGGCTTTTTCAGGTTGTGTCCGGCTTTTCGTTAGTGTAACGCGTTGCAGGCATCGTTGCAGAATAAATAAGTAACATATACACTTAAAACTGTGCTATGATTGATTAATAAACAATTAACATAACATATTACAACTGAAATTATTTCTGGGTGTTCAAGTATTTCTGGGCAGTTTTAAACAATTGAGAAATAAAACAGTATATTATAATCATTTCTGTAAACATAATTTTTTTTATTAATTCCTCAAAAGGAACTTTTATTCCTTATAATTTCCCTTCTCCATAAATATTAATATATCAAGTTGGTAAAAGGTACGACTTTCCATTGACGTCAGTGGAGTTTGGTATTGATACGTATTTTTACAGAAAGATTACACTATCATAAGCACACACACAAAGTCTCAATATACGGAAACGCGTAATTTTTGAGAAAATAATTCAAAATCAATTATTCTTGCAATGTTTATGTCTAATCTGCTAAAAACTGGCGCCATTTGTAATGTCATTGTCGACGTCAATAGGGATGTCGATTCTTTCCAAAAAAGGTCCATTTTTAAATCGATTCAAATCGTAAGCTGATGTATCGATTCCTAAAAAATCGATTTCTAAAATATCGATATTTTTTTCATGTTTGCATTTATAATGTAAATATAAATCCATTTTATGAGAAAAAAATCCCCTTCATCATAAAAAAATAAGGGGACTGATTCATAAGGATTTCTGTATCTATTTTGAGACTGCTTCGTCTCCGGCGCTGCGGGAAGAGCAACCTCTACACCTTAGCGTAACAAATCGCTGCTCCCCCTACGCGCCTCCGGCTCTATAAAACCACTCTAGGGGTAGGACAGACTCGTACCAGGTGGAGTCGGGGTCAATCAATTCGGTTCTTTGACATAAGTTGAACCTAACCTATTTTATTTATCTGCCCTAATAGGTACTGTTAAATAAAACAAATTTCAATAAGAGATCATTTATCATGGTATCTTTCTTGTTTTTCATAAAATGGGTTTATATTTACATTATAAATAGAAACATTAAAAAAATATAGACATTTTAGAAATCGATTTTTTGTGAACCGATACATCAGCTTACGATTTGAATCGATTTAAAAATCGACCTTTTTCGGAAAGAATCGACATCCCTATTGACGTCGACAATGACATTACAAAATGGCGCCAGTTTATTAGCAAATTAGACGTAAACATTGCAAGAATAATTGGTTTTCAATTATTCTTTTCTCAAAAATTACGCGTTTCCGTATATTGAGACTTTGTGTGTGTGCTTATGATAGTGTAATCTTTCTGTAAAAATACGTATCAACACCAAACTCCACTGACGTCAATGGAAAGCTAAGCCGTGGTGGTATGTATTATAATCAGGGACCAAATCTCTACCAAATAAAACACCTTACTCTGCCAAATTCGTGCCTAACAATTCTAAATCCAACCCCATGAAATTAACAGAATGGTCTTATAACCATCCCTATTAAAAAATAGCACACACCATTTTTTAAGAGTTAGACCCAAAACTCATATAGCATTATTTAAACAATGTAGAACTATTTCATTGATGACTTGTACACACAAACATGACACTAAAATTTACTTACTTTTTAGCCAGTTTCTTAACAAGCTTTTTGTTCTTGTTCAGTTTCTTTAAGGCTTCAGCATCCATGCACGGCACATTTAACTGCTTGGCTTCATCACAATGCTGTTGGTCTCCAAGAATGCAAACTTGCATCTTAGGACGTGGGATGTACTTTAGTCTAAAAAATAAATAAACCTTTTTTAGGCATGATGTGAAAATTACAAAAATTTGTTAGAAAAATAAATAAAGTATCAGAGGTATGTTTGACATCAATTGACAATCAGATAATACATGCAATTCAAATCATCATTAAAAATAATTTTAGCAGATTATGGACACTTGAAATTGAGAACAAAAATTTCATAAAAAGATACTTTCAAAAATAATCATATGATTAAACAGGTCCAAATTAAAAGTTAAAAAGGGTTTTTCAATGCAGCAAAATATTAACAAACTAACATTGCTTCATACCTCATAGACATCTCTGAAGTTATATTAATTTTGGTAAGCCAAAGGCATACCTACCCATTATTTTAAGACTCTGGGTGGAGTCCCGTCAGTGAATACCGACTCCCTGTACAGATGCATTTTAGTGGACTACTCAAGGTTCAAGCAAATACACATGAATTGCAGCAGGAAAGGAACCAATTAGATAATTATAATAAGTGAAACAAGCTTTGATGCCTTCCTTTGGCAGCTAACACGTGGTAGTCATCGAAATTCAAAATTAAAGTTAATAGGAACATTTCACGTCCACTAAAGTGCTCTTTTCAGGTAAACATACTTGACAGTGCCGGAGAAACGCTTGTCCTTTTGAGGGTCATAGTTCTTCAGACCGATTTGCAATTCAACAGTTTCCAGGAAATTACGCTTTTTGTCTTTAGAAGACTGGAGGACGGCGTTTACGCACTCGTAGAGTGTATCACGCGATACCTTCGACCTGAAATAATTATTTTAACAATTAAGAGGTTATATGCATTATGATTACTTAAATTATAACTTTACGAAAATTATGAAAATATATAAAACTCTAGCGTTAATTTAGTATATGAACGAATATGATAATAAAATAATTCTATTTTGCAGGAAGATTACTCAGATTTTCAGTAATAACTTACATTTTCAAGGAATTATCCTTCCCTACCGTACAACGTCACGTTGAGAAAGAAAGAAACAGATGAAACAGATTTAGAAGAAAACTAGCAATGACAAGTGACAATCTCGCGTAGTGTTGCCAGAACTTAATTTTGTATTTACCTAATCTTTTATTTTCCAATCTAGAAATAGTAGTAGTAGTCTAGTACTAGTAGTATCTTTCTCACAATTTTTATATTTTTAAAAGTAAAAAGATATATAAAATAACTGCAAGACAGATTTTTCTCAGGGATATCATTATTTTTCGAATTGGCTTAATTTGTGCGTCATACTAACAAAAATCTTACTCGCAATTTTTTTAAGTGCATCGTGAAACGTGATCACCTTTTAACTCAACATTTAATTTAAATAAAAATTATCTATTTTTATTAAAATTAAATTTGTGTAGATACGGAGGCACGTTTTATGACTTATTCTCTCTAAAGAGTATGTAATCCGTTACCATTACCATCACAGCCTATTAAGGTTTACTACTGAACAAAGACTTACCCATAGATTGTCTCATAGGAGGGATATTTATCATAGATGCTACGTTTGGCAAGCGGGCTGTCAACCATAGTTTTATATTTTTAGTCATTATGAGGAAGACACTATTGCCCATCTCCTGATTTTTTTACTCTGTCACCTATTACGACACCTACAGTATGATATTATGGGATATATGGGTGGTGGAAATTCTTACACCGCTACAATACGGTTATAAAATTAAAGAGTATATAACCACTACGTTTTAATGAGCGATTTTTGTTCAGTTTCGTATCACTATCATTTGGGGAGAACGTTTATTAGCCTGTGGTTAGGGGTTAGATGGTCATACAATGGTATTGTGTAAAGCCAACAAACCAGCATACGTAGTGATTATAATATTCTCTTCGACCTGTTGTAAAAATTATCTAATGAAATGGTAATCTAAAATAAATCTGGCAAGAGTCAAGGTGTATTTTTATTAATTTTTTGGCTTGGATGCCTGACTTTTAAGCTATGTCTTTATTTCATTAATGGGATATTTGTTTTTATAGATTTTCAGTATCACGTAACAATAATCATTTATAGTACACTGTGTAGCCAAAACTCTCAGTTAAGGTGTATTTATTCTGTGGTAATAGTGTAATCCGTTGTGAACAGGAGTTTTGGCCGGAACTCGACCGGAATAATTGTTTACAGTGGTTTTTGATATGTAAAAGTGGTGCATTTTGTGTATTAAATGTCTGTGCACGTGAGCTATTAGTGGAAACAGTGAAACAAGTGCTCCAATGGTGACGTGAATCTCAAGATGAAAGAAGAATCTGTCTGCTGAACTAAGCCTTGAGATTATATCGCCAACATTCTGCTAGCTCAAATTGCCGTCAAAGTTTACCAAAAACTACGCAATTTGGCGCATCAAGATATTATGAAACATTCTACTACTATTATCATATGAGATAAATGAAGGCATGGCTTAAAAGACAAGCATGCAATCCAAAATCTTAATAAAAAGTTTTAAAGAGGATTTTGATATGTAAAAGTGGTGTGATTATATGTATGAAATGTCTTCGCTACTACTAGACTAACTATTATTGGAAGTGGTGAAACAAGTGCTCCGATGGTAATGAGAATCTCAAGATAAGGTATCTTTTTGAGTAGGCGTTTTGAGATACTTTCGCAAACTGTCTGATAGCTCAAGTTGTCGTCAAAATAACGGCACACGTCAAAATATTATATAGCAGACTACTATAAAAGATGATTAGCACTTGATACTGAGATCAATGAACACGTTACTTAAAAAACAAGCATCCAAGTCAAAAATATTAATTAAAAAATATTCGGTTCTATCGTTCATGGAGTATAGAGGAGAAGGAGAATCATCTCATATTTATGGGGAGAAAGTTGAAAAGTGTCCAACTCTTTACTGAAAATAGAGGTTTCAAAACCTACCACAATAGCGCTGGCTTCTGAAAAACTACGATATGAATATAGTCGTTGTAGACGGAGTGAAGGTAGCGGAATTCAAATATTTTAAAATTTTCGTGACTAGAGTAGTTAATAAAATGCCAGTATACAAAACCTCAACTATTTACGTAGTACAAAACCAAGCGGATTTGTCGGTCCTTGTTTATTTCTCCATCTTATTCTAATTACTTTTGGCGCTTTTATTAAAACTTATCCTATGCTACGTAGTGCCATCCTTATTGGACGCGGTTTTACGGACACTTATGCTTATACAGAGATGGTCCTCCTTCTACTCTATACTCCATGATATAGCTGTAAATTGATTAATTCTCTTGATTATGTAGGTTTTTGTTTTTGTCAAATCTATTAGCATATGATCTCTAGTACATATACAGTAATCTATGTCTACTAGTTAGTCTGTGGCATAGAGGAAAGTAATATGTCTGTCAGAGTTTTGGCGGGAACTTGTCCGGCGGCGGTTAGCTGCTCCTGTATTATTGTTTAAATAATAGTTTGTAGTTGACTTTGATATGTAAAAGTGATGGGATTTTGTGTATTAAGTGTCTGCGCATGTGAACTATTAGTGGAAACTGTGAAACAAGTGCTTTGATGGTGATGTGATTCTCAAAATAAGGTGTCTGTCTGCTTAGGCGCCTTGAGATAACATCGCCAACCGTCAGCTGTCTGCTGGCTCAAGTTGCCATCAAAATCTCTCAAGGGCTGCACAATGTGATGCATCAACATATTGTGAAGCAGTATACTATGATGGATAATTATAATAAATTGTAACTTCCGGCTCAGAAGGGCTAGATCCCAGAGCCATAAAGCCAGTTATTAAAAAAAATTCTGTCAATGTGTCAATGTCAGTGGCTTAAAGGGGTGTGTTGTAGTTTTCTACATAACGTAGCGTTATCGTTATGGTATTATACAACAGATAACGTCATGATAACTGTCTATATTCATAACTGTCTATTTTCCATGTAACGGCAACTTAACATATAAAACAGTTATCATCAAAATTGTGTTCGTTTCGTGACATAAACAGTATTTAAATACTAATTTAGTTGCTGAAATGAACTTTCTTTCGTACTTTTGATCTTTTAACATCTTTCTAGGAATTAAAACATCCATTTTCCCTTGTTTTTGTTGAAACTGCGGTACAAATGTTGGCATTACGTAGGTTGGATTTGACATCGGAGGCTGGCCCAAAAAGTTATCTATTAAGTTCGTGCTGACGCAAAGGCTGGGACACCCAAAGTACAAAGTAGGTACCCAAGGTCTCGAAGATCTAGCAATCGTTTGCTGTTCCAACGAAACTTGTGTGTTCTATACTATATATCGCTGCCGTAAATGAGACTTCAGATTACCTGAAGTCGTCTGAAAACTAAATTCGTTTTTTCAAATATTACAACAAGGTTTTTTATTTACAAAAGTTTTTTCGAAAAACTCCCACAAAACACTTGTGTTTTGTCGCAACATTGTTTCTTTATTACATTACAACCTAAACCAAAGCTTCATCTATATTTACAATCACTAAATCAAATAAATATTTACAAAGTTTTTTTGTTCGTTTTTGTCTTCTTTTATGAACACTAATATCACAATGCGTGCTTTATGCTTTGAAATAAACTTGGAATTAACAAATAAATACAATACAATACAAACACTCACGCCTGTCACCCAGAGGGGTAGGCAGAGACTACGGACTTCCATTTGGCGCGATCCTGACACACTTCTCTCACCTCCTTTACATTCATATATTTACGCATACACGCTCGACGGTTAAGGGTACTCCTAATCTGGCCCATTTTCAATGTATCACCGATTTGGTCGATAAATCTTCGTCTAGGGCGTCCCTTCCCGACTTTGCCGTTCACTTCTGAAACATAAATTTGCTTTGTCACTCTTTCCTCGTTCATTCTTTCTACGTGACCAAACCACCGAAGCATTCCATTTTTAATCCTAGTCACAACATCATCTTGCAAACCACACATTTCTCTTATCACACTATTTCTCACCCTGTCATTCAGATTCAGCCCTAGCATACTACGTAATGACCGCATTTCTACAGCCTTTATTCTACTCTCATGCTTCTTCTGCCTTACCCAACTTTCACTACCATACATTAAAGTAGAGACTAACAACCCATTATGAATTGCCATACGTGCCTTCTTTGACACATTCTGACTCTTCATAATAGCGTGTAGAGCCCCATTAACTCTATTTCCTGCGTTCACTCGTCGTTCTATATCCTTGTCATATCTACCATCCCTGCTAAATAAATATCCCAAATATACAAACTCATCCACTTGCTCAATCAACTCCCCTTCTATTCTTATTTCACATAACGTTTTACTTTCAAAAACCATCACTATCGTCTTACTTGCGTTAACTTTCATACCCCTTTCTTTTAATGACCAGTTCATTAAATTAACCATCATTTGCAACTCGGCCGCCGACGATGCAAATATGACTTGATCATCGGCGTACAAAAGGCATTTGACAGTTAACTCACCCATTCTCAACCCACATTCTTCAACTTTCAAAGTTTGCAAACAGCTGTCCATAAATAGGTTAAACAGCCACGGAGAAGCTACACAACCCTGTCTGACACCTTTTTGAATGCCAAACCAGTCCGAGTAGGCCCCGTTGATCCTGACACAACGTCAGCAAGTCGAGTGGGCCCGATGGAGTCCCATTGTGCTGAAGACGTGTGCTCCGAAGTTGGCACCGGTTTTAACGCGTCTTTTCCGATACTCCTACTCCCAAGGCGTAGTCCCGAATTCATGGAAGACAGCTTTGGTCCACCCGATCCCTAAAAAAGGCGACCGCTCAGACCCGTCCAACTACGGGCCTATTGCCATCACCTCCTTGTTCTCCAAAATAATGGAATCCATTATAAACTGCCAGCTCATGAGGTACCTTGAGGATCACCAGCTGATCAGTGACCGCCAGTACGGTTTTCGTCGAGTTCGATCAGCTAGTGATCTTCTAGTCTATCTGACTCATAGATGGGCGGAGGCAGTAAAGTCCAAGGGGGAGGCATTGGCCGTTAGTTTGGACATAGCGAAGGCCTTGGCCTTCGATCGGGTCTGGCACAAAGCGCTAGTAGTGTAGGTTTTGGCATGCTCTGATCACGAATCCGCGGTCCATTTTTGTGTAGAATACGGTTCCGGAGATGTGTAGATCAATTAGCTAATATCTAATTGATATCCGGTAAGGGCCTCCACCGTCATTAGCGTCCCATTGTTCCTATTTCTATTGTTCTATTGTTCATTAATCACCCTCATTGCAGCGTGTGCGTCGACTATATCAGTGCTATTGTTTATTATAATTCTTTGTTTATACAACGCTAATCTGAATCATCAATAAAACACATTACATAATTTTGTTACAATTTTTATTTATAAAATACAAAATCTTATTAATTATTATCTATAAAATAGGAGCGAAACATCTCATCCACTAAAATATCGTTGTACAATGTGTTCCTTGTAAATATACTCGTAAAACTATGTATTGAACATCCTTGAAACTTATATAGTAAATACATTAAGCAATATTCGCCACAAACTGAAGTCCACTCATTCTGAATCCTATCAACATTCCAGTTCCATCTTTTACAATTCCTTTTTAAAAACTCTAGATGATATCGTACAGGTGATCGTCCATATGAATCAAAATATTGACCGACGTCATTCGTATCGATATATAAAGCTACCCAATGTGACCCTGGTTTATCATCTGTATCCAAATTACATATTATATACGTTGGTACGTGGGTATACATAGGCAGTCTATTAGCTGCATAAACATTATTTTCTAGACTGGGGTGAATCTTTTTCAGATGTTGTTGTACATCTAGTGTATCCATGATATTACTGCTATTAGTAGATTATTACAGTACCTAGCTACTCAATGAATAACATAGGAATGGTCAATTATAGTGATTTCTACATATTAAATTGCATTTTTGTGATATACAAATCGTACTTGAGTCATTGATCACCAAACAAAACACAATACGAAGAAATGTTGAGATAGGCAACGGAAATGTGAGATAAACTGATATGTTTCTAAATATTAAATTGCATTTTTGTGTTATACAAATCGTACTTGAGTCATTGATCACCAAACAAAACACAATACGAAGAAATGTTGAGATAGGCAACGGAAATGTGAGATAAACTGGTTGACGCATAAAGTAATTATCAACTCATTACGGAAATACTTTAGATTAGAATTTTTACATACTGGTGGTATATAAGACCAACAAACGCAGTCATCGAGTTAGTGTACGGTCGTTTGGCTACAGTGGATCTATCAATAGTACATTTGTGTTACTTCAATACACCAAAGGCTATGGATGTAAGTGTTTATTCTATTGACTAAATTACTTTTTTTCTGTTATTTTCATGTGTGTGTGTATTATTTTATTTAAATATTGTGTATGTATATGATTAAGCCGTGGTAACTCAGATGGTTAGCGCTAGCTGTAAATTTCACAGTACGCGACCCGGGTTCGATCCCCGCCAGCACCAATTAAATTGTTAATAGCAATTTTAAGTGCTTATTACCACGTGCTTGGTGGTAAAGGAAAACATCGTGAGGAAACCTGCATGTCTGAGAAAATTTCGAAGGCATGTGAAGTTCACCAACACACATTGAGGGAGCGCGGCGGACATTTCCTTGCTCTAAAACCCTCTCAGAAATGAGAGGAGGCCTATGTTCAGCAGTGGACTTTAATAGGCTGTAACTTTAACTTTTTTAACTTTTATGATTAAGTGTTAACAAATTGATATTAACATGATAACTGTGTTGTTGCAGAAATCATTGAGCTTCGATGAAGATACCTATAAACAGTATTACTACTCGCCACTCTCCCCTCAAGAAGAGAGTGATAACCTCGTCATTAATAATAACACATGCGATGGTGGAAAAAGAAAATCGCAATCGATTGATCATTTTTTTGAAGCTGAATCAAAAATAAAAAAGAGGAAGGGAAAACTTCAGTGAAGTGTGCACCAGTGCTTTTTTCTCCACAATCATGGAAGAGAATACGGAACTATTCAATAGCGAATTAAATCAGGAGTTGTCTAAAGTTTGTGAAGAAATGGAGAGGGGTCAACTGTTCGATTCGTCATACGATGATGAGTTGTATCATCACTGTGCGATGGTTGAAACACAGTTTAAGTATGTAAAATAAACATTCATTTCGATCATAATTTACATATTGTCTTATACAGTTTTTAATAAATTTAAACATTTTAGCAGTCAACCACTACAACTTGGAAGAGGAACGAAGCGAACGTGCAGCAAAGAATCCAAGATCATCAAAAAACCAACAACGGAAGCAGAAGCGCATACCTCTGCAGGGAACAGTATCAGTAACGATGATCAAGTGGAATGTCCAACGTGCCATATATTTATCAAGAAACGGTATTTAGCTAATCATTTTAAAAGTAATGTTCATAAAAATAATCTTTTAAATTCACATAATTCTTTATCAAACGTTAGTGTTATTGAATCTGCTTTTGGAAATAGGATTTTAACTTATAAAATCAAGAGTAGAGTAGATCGTTCGACATGGGTAAATTTTGAAACTCCTGAACTATTTTTAAATTCTATTAAAGATGATATTTTATTTTTATTACAAGAGTGTATTCATCAACACATAATTTTTAAGGTAAACTTCATATTGCATGCTGATTTTGTTCAACAAACTAAAGATATTCATGATACGTTCGATTTTCAAACGCTTAACTATATTATTTGTCAAGGAGATGACTTAAATATTTTTCTTTCATCTTTAAATGATACAATTACTACTAAAATTAGTGCTTTCGAAAAAAAAGATAGTGGATGGAGTCTAAAAAACATAAAATCTATAGACATGAATGTTAATAAATTTAACCCCCTACGCGGTACTTCATACATAGATCTTCCTCGTGACATAAAATTAAAAAAGGCTGTTATAAATGTAAAAAACAAGGATTATTTTTGTTTTAAATGGGCGTTACTCTCGGCGTTATATCCTGTAAACAAACACACCGATCGGGTATCATCGTACGTTAAACATGCAAATAAACTTAAATTTGATGGTATTTCCTTTCCGGTTAAAATTTCTGACATAGCAAAAGTAGAGAAATTAAATGATATTAGTATTAATGTTTTTGGGTTAGAATATAATAAAGAAAAACGATGTAATTCTATAGTAGGTCCATTATTTTTAACAAAGTGTCGTAAAGATAGACATATCAATTTATTATTTTTTTCCAAGGATACAAAAAATCATTATTGCTATATAAAAAATTTATCGCGGTTAGTTAGTAAACAAATTTCAAAAGACGGTCACATCATGTACATTTGTGAAGCATGTCTACTTCGTTTTCCATCTCAGGAAAGGTTAAATAACCATGAACAATACGATTGTGCTCACATTTGTACAGTATTACCAAACAGTGAAACTTTAAAAAAAAAGAATTGGTTTGGTCAACCTATTTCAAATGATAAAATTAAATTTGATAGTTATGAAAAAAAGTTAAAGATACCATTCGTAGTTTATGCTGATTTTGAAGCATTTTTAAAACCAATAGAATCATGTTCTAACGATCCTTCCAAACCTTTCACTCATAATATTCAGAAACATGAAGTACATAGTTTTGGATATTATATAAAATGTTCATATGATGATAAATTATCAAAATATGTAACATATTGCGGACCCAACTGTGCACAAGTGTTTGTGGAAAGTTTATCTAACAATCTAAAAGAAATAAATAGACTTCAAAAATATCCACCACTTCCGCTAACAAATGAAGACAAAAACCAAATTTCAAATGCAACCATTTGTCATATTTGTGAAACTGAGTTGGCAAAACATTTTTATGATTTTGATTGGTACACTGGTAGTTTTATAGGTGTTGCTCATGAATCATGTTGTTCGAAGATCAGAACACCTAGTTATATACCAATATTTTTACACAACCTTAGTCACTATGATGCTCATTTTATTGTTCACGCGTTAAACTTTTGTGATGGTGAAGTCGAAGTTATCCCTCAAAATAAAGAAAAATATATATCCTTTTCCAAAAAATTAAAAGTGAATAACCACGAAATTATATTGAGATTCTTAGATTCATTTAAGTTTTTATCGTGTAAATTAGAAGAATTGGCCAAAAATCTCAGTAATGATCAATTTTAAGAATTACGTAGAAATTACCCTAATGATGAAGATTTCTTTCGTTTAAAACGGAAAGGTGTTTATCCATATGAACTTATGACTAAATATGATAGTTTAAGTCTAACATCGCTCCCTGAACAAAAATGTTTTTATAGTTCACTCACAGATTCACATATTTCAAATGATGATTACAATCATGCTAAAGATGTTTGGGAACATTTTGGGTGTTGTAATATGCTAGATTATTCAAACCTATATTTAAAAACAGACGTTTTACTTTTATCCGATGTATTTGAAAACTTTAGAAAGTTATGTATTAATACATATGATTTAGACCCTGCCCATTATTACACAGCACCCGGTTTAAGTTGGGATGCAATGTTA